TCTTTGATCAACTAGATGTCATCGGTTCATTTGAGGCTCTGGGTCACTCGATGATCTGGTTGTCGAATTCTGATTGAGACTTTGGATCCTTCGATCGACTAGCCATCCTTGGTTTATTCAAAGTTCTAGGTCACTCGACGACCAGGGTTATGAAAGTTTGATTGAGGGTTTGGGTTCTTCAATCAACTAGTTAACCTTGATTCATTTGAGTCTATGGATCACTTGATCATGATGACATTGACATGTGGTGATGTGGCACACCAATCTCTTGCAACTTTCTTTTACTTAAGTCTATTTAATCAGAGAAGTATTTTGGACTGTCACTCTTCAAAACAGGTATAGTTGGTAAACATATCAAACACATATAATAAAAAGCATATCTCATCTTCTAGGATTTCATTTTCCAAGAGGGAAGTATTTTCTCCTGCACTGTGAAGGGTAGAGATCACCCTCACCAGCCAGGTGGACTCGCCAGTGGGTTGATCGATCTATACTAAAGGCAACAATTTATCAAGCTATCTGTTTCACCAGTTGGTTCATGCCAATTCTTTCCTCTATATGGGCCTCTGTTAGTCTCTGTGATGACAAAAAGTAACAATACAAATTTAGTGGCTTTTTGACTTGGGCCCGGTCCATCCTGAACTTGAGTCCAGATCTAACAGTTGACCCAATCCTTAAAACATAAGAACCTGTAGGCCCAAACCTATTTAAAAAAGGGACAGGGGGATGCCACCTGGCTTATGGATATAATAAAAAAATCCAACACAATGGGACAATTGATTGACCTATCTCTCTCTCTCTCTCTCTCTATATATATATATATATCACTTGATATTTTGATGAAATATCTAACATAATGAACCAACAATTCATCATTCCATGAATTGCGAATCTACAGTAGGAAGTTTTTATAACTCAACGACTCTCGTCCCTCTTCTTAATTGCCCCATCTACAAATATAGATGGTACAATATTCCATTCCCTACTTTACCCACACGGAATAAGTTGTCATAATGAATTGCCTAACAAACCCATGTCTAAGTGTCATTTTCATTAGGGGTTATAAATTACGACAAAATAAACTAAATTGATACGAAATAAATGAATTTGAATTGACATTAAATGAATTTAAGTCATAAACGAGCTTAATCGTGTCGGTTTGAAGAGTTTAACTCGTGTAATTCGTTTATGATCCGTTTAACTCAACATGTTATATTCGTAAATATGACTTGTGTAATATGTCACAGGTTTAAACCCAATTATTATAGATAATTAAGTCATTTTAACATAAAACATGTTTACACCTTATGAATTTTCTTCTTATTTTGAATATTTGAGTTAATTGTGACAAAAAATTTATATTATTTATTATTTGATTAAATATTAAATGTTTTTAATAAACATGTTATTAAATGGGTTAACACGTTTATCGGTTTAATAATTACGTCCGATTAGTGTTGAAAGTTTTAAACACGATTATTAAATGAATCGGATTTGAATTTACTTATTTAATATAATATTCTTATATCGACACAGCACGATTATAACTTATAAATACGAATGGTTACTCCTAATTTTCATACCTATTTGCTATCATAGTGTGTGTATGTGTGTGTGTATATATATATATATATATTACATACTATTTCTAAAAAGAAAAAGACAAAAAGAGTTAGATGTAATTATATTTCAAAAATACATTTACACTCTAAAATTATAAAAAAGTATGTATTATATAATTGCATATCACTTTTTGAAAATTAATTTAGTTATTTTAAAATTTATATTATTTATTATTTGATTAAATATTAAATATTTTTAATAAACATGTTATTAAATGGGTTAACATGTTTATCTGTTTAATAATTACGTCCGATTAGTGTTGAAAGTTTTAGACACGATTATTAAATAAATCAGATTTGAATTTACTTATTTAATATAATATTCTTATATCGACACAACACGATTATAACTTATAAATACGAATGGTTACTCCTAATTTTCATACTTATTTGCTATCATAGTGTGTGTACGTGTGTGTGTGTGTATATATATATATATATTACATACTATTTCTAAAAAGAAAAAGACAAAAAGAGTTAGATGTAATTATATTTCAAAAATACATTTACACTCTAAAATTATAAAAAAGTATGTATTATATAATTGCATATCACTTTTTGAAAATTAATTTAGTTATTTTAAAATTTATGGTAGTAGGTGCATTGTAATGACTCTAGAAAAGTCCTGCATATATGACGGTTACATCACCACGTGGCAGGAACAGATAAAAGCAATCAAAGAGTCCACATCAGTACAGACACCTGTATTTGTTGAGTATTTGTCGTAGCACGACTCTTGAACACGTTGAGGCAATTTACCTGGCACGTGTTCCATACCATTAAAGTTTACTAACGCAGAGCCACCAGATGCTTGCCACGTCATGATATGGCACTTCAAAATCCAATGAAAAAGTCGAATACATTGTTTTGACCAAGACTGGGTGTCTAGTTTTCATTGGTTAATGTTGACATGTGATAGATACATCTCTTTAAGCAACTATTTTGTTGGCTATACTTTTATTTTTTAATGCTTTTCTTTGATATTTTAATATTTTTTTTATTAATACATAGACTTTTTAAATTTGTTTGAAGAATCCAAGTCGGACACGTTATGGCTCGGTAACCACCACCACTAATATCTCGGCTCGAAGAGATCAGCTTAGCCGCTATAGGTTAGCACACAAATCATATACTATGAGATTGGACATAGGCTAACAAAGCTTTGGAATCAATTGATGGATGGCGTGAAAAAGGGATGTTGCATTCTACAGTCGGCGCTAAGTTGCTTTACGCTTGAGCAATTCTTTATCCAATTTTATCATGGTACTATAAAAGCATACATATCATGAATTTGACAGTTATCCACATACAAATTTAACCCTAGACATTTAGGTGAAAAAAAAAAAATTAACACTTTACATTTCACCTATTATAAATTTCAGAAATCTCCTATATTTTTATTTATTTAAAATTGTCCGAAGAAAATAACAGACAAGAATACAAATACATTCGCTTAAAGAACTAACTGTGCTATCATCTAAGGCACCTACATTGAGTTCCTCTCCTCTAGCTCCTTTCATATGGATTGAAGCATATGATAAATTGTATACTAAAGAAAGAAAATAATGTACACAATACAGACATTAATGTGCAATACCACAACTTATTGAAAAAGAAATATCATCAAGGGTAAAATGCAAAAAATCTTCTTGAAGTACGTTTAAATTTGTAAATAACTCACTTAAAATATATTTTGTGCATAATACCCCTTGAATTACCACATTTTGTTACAAAATGGCCCAATGCCTAGACTATTTTTTATTAAATGACAATAATGCCCTTTCTTATTGAAATAAATTATGAAAAAAAATTATACTAATTTGATAACATATTCTCTATTAAATTTACTTTTAATTTTTGAAATTAATTGTTTAAATAAAAATCTTAAGTATAAAATTTTAAAAGAATTTAATTATTTTCTTAAATTTTCATGAATGTATTGCATGAAAATTAAGTTATTTTTATTTAAGTAGTTTATTAATTTTTCATGAATATAATGTATGAAAAATAATGTATTTTTTTTATGGTAAAAAAGTTTAAACTGAGTATAATAAATTTTATTATAAATAGTAAAATTTTAATAATAAGTTTATAGTTTTATAAAATAGTAGTTATAAATCAATTTATTTATTTTTTATTTTTTATGATAAATTGATACTAATAATAAAATTAAGGTCAATAGTATAATTAAAATTTAGATAAGAGATAAGATAATAAAATTAATGTAATAAAAATTAACAAATTTAATGAAAAATGATAAAATAGTCTTTTATAATGGGTTTGTCCTTAATCGTAACAAATCAATAATTTAAAGGAGTAATTTGTAGTTTTTTTTTTTACACTTTACCCCATCATCAATATCCATAGAGTCAAAGTCTTGTATTACATCATTGTATGTTACAACAAAATGCAACCAAAATTACAATCAAGAAACTAATAGAAATATAAACAGCACCCTCTTTGATGAACATCTTATCAAAGATGAAATTACAAGTATCAAGTTGGATCCCAAACCCTTGTTTCTCTCTCACTCTTTAATACATTCAGGTTACTAGAGAAACTATAACATGAGCTCACAACCCGTGATGAGTTAAGATAACTAAATTGCTTGGTACGCAGTTCAAATCGCTTAGCATTTTTTTTTTTTTTTCAAAAAAGGTTATAGCATTAAAGAAAAATTATTATTTCATCCAATTTAAAACCAAACACGTGGACTATAGTTTCATTGGGCTTCTTATCCTCTTTCCTTCCAATTTTTTTTCAATCCAAACACCCGTTGGGTTTGTATCAATCACCTTATATTAAGAAGTGGCAACTCAAAACTTGTCTTCTAACTCTCTCTGATCGAATGGAACCATCAAATCACAAAAAAAAAGTATTACTTGTGGATCTCCACGTATTCAGGCCACCAGGTACCAGCACCACGTATTCAGGCCACCAGGTACCAGCAGTTGCAAAGTTCATCGTGATGTAAAAATCTCTCCCAAGAAAAAGGGACAAATGGCACCACGTGATTCACGTCGCCGACACCATATGGCATAAAAGGACGAAACTTGGATGGTTAAGACAATGACGAGCGATTATGACAACAAACATTATAATTTTGTCTACCAATTAAAATAGTACAAAACAATCTGACTAATTTATGGTCTCACAGACAATTAAAGTAAACAAGCCAGTGATAACCAAGCCCACACAATAAAATACACAGCACGGCTTCAATCCACATCCAGCTCAACTTTTACTTGGAGCTTGAGTGTCTCATATTATACAATATTCTACACCTCCAATTGTTCTAGAAGAATTAATCATATAAAAATAAAAAATAAAAAAAAAAAGAAAAAAATCATGAAATAAGTTAAGAGTGTTTTAAGAAATTAAAATGGACAACGTTCACAAGTTACAAGAAGAAAAGCACCCTACGGTAATCAGACCCCATTGACATCATATATAACACACAAATGAGAACACCCACGGTACTAAAAATTAGTTAAATACTAAGCAATAAGTTATATGCACATCCCAAACGTACACAGGGTCCTAAACATACCTCCTCTGTCCACTGTTGGTAGGCTGGTGTGAATCCCAGACAATATGGAGGAAGGGGAAGCATACTCTCCCTCCGAAGTCCTCGGAGCAGAGTGCTTCACAAGCTTGAGCTCAGTCTCCAAAAAGAGGAACAAAAACAAGAAGAGGTTCAGTGATGAACAGATCAGATCATTGGAAACCATCTTCGAGTCTGAGTCGAAGCTCGAGCCACGAAAAAAGCTGCAGCTGGCAAGAGAGCTTGGATTGCAACCGCGACAGGTTGCGATATGGTTTCAGAATAAGAGAGCTCGGTGGAAGTCAAAGCAGCTCGAACGAGACTACAGCATACTAAGAGCCAATTACAATACTCTGGCTTCCCAATTCGAAATCCTCAAGAAAGAGAAGCAATCCTTAGTTATACAGGTATTTGTTGTTGTTTATCTATTAGTAATCATATGTAATAGCGTAGAAGCATCTAATTTGGAGGTCTTACGAAGATGTTTTGAACAGTTGCAGAAGCTGAATGATCTGGTGGATAAGTCTCAAGAGGGAAGCCAGTGTTGCAGTAAAGAGGCTGGCGAGAACAGAACTGAAGGCAAATCAAACAGTGGAGATGACAAGAGCGAATTTGAAGTGAAGCCCAGCCTGTCGATAGAAAGGTCAGATCATGGAGTTGGTGTCCTTTCGGACGATGATAGCAGCATAAGGGCAGAGTATTTCGGGCTAGACGAAGAACCTGACCTTCTGAGCTTTGTGGAACCAGCTGATGGTTCCTTGACATCACCTGAAAACTGGGGAAGTCTCAACTCCAATGATTGCTATGACCAGTCTAATAATAGTTATCATTGGTGGGACTTCTGGACTTGAATCAATTAAACACTCCTTTATGAAAAGAAGAAGAAAAAGATCCAACACCCAACAACATGGAGGAAATGTATGCAAATAATCCTCCTCCTGTTGGTAGTACCCTGTAGAGGAGCACGGGATGGTTAATCTTGTCAGCAAATCTAGAATTTCAGATGCCAATCGGTGTAGCTTTTGAGGATTTGAAAATCGGGAATTTAGAACTTTAGTCTATCCTCTTGATACCAATCCAAAAGCAGCTAATCTTGAGCTATTTGCACATCTCCACACTCGCACACAAATTATGCTTCAACAAACACAATGCACTTTAAAGTACATGAAGCATAAAATTAGTTGGCATTGTGATCAAGAAAAACAACGAACTCAAAATCTTAGCTTCATGTTGCAAGTTCCAATTGCTGTCTTTTTTCAGTAGTAATCATACGGTTGTATTGACAAATGAAAGAAATGCTCGAATACACACTTTTAATTTTTATATGAGCATGCTAAAGGAGATTCATGGCCACTATAAGAGCCTTATAAAGAAAGTAGTACTTCCAAGTCCAGAGAACCTGGACTTGGAAGAACAGCACACATGATGTCCATTATATAATTACTAAGGTGAGCATTTCCAAATATTCCTTAATACTTCATCTCAAGTTAGGTAAAATTCAATTTTCGAAAAAAAAGTTAGGTAAAATTCCCAAGAGAATATGCATTCGCGTTACAAATTGCTAAGCCTATTGTCACGCCCTGCCAAGTTGAACCGAGGTTGTGTCACGTAAGCAACACACAAGCACTAAGGAGGACTCAACATGTCGCTTGTTGGGCATATGTGGAAAATGGATTTTAGAGTCTTCCACGCTCGTGTAGAGAAATATGAAATGTTACGAGGATTCAAGAAAGTTGCAGTAACATGTAGAGTATAAGAATATTCTAAAGAAGTAGAGAGAATGAATTGAAGATATTTTAAAAGAGTGTTTTAGAGGGTATATCATAACAGTCGATTGTAATGCATGGTACTCGTTGATGGGAGGAGAATATCGCGAATGTCTATATAAATAACATGAGCGGAGATAACTCACATAACTGATATGAGTATATTACAAAAACCATTCTCTCTAGGTAGTGAAACGATGACAGTGACGAGGAAATGAAATTAAAGTTAGGAATGAGAAAAATGAATCCGAGTATAAGACTTCTACTTGAATCTCATTTGAGAACATAGTACTCCCTACAACAAGTTTCTTGACGCAAAAAGAACAATTCATTTACTCCACTATTCTACTAATGGATTAAATGGTATTAAGGATTAAATGATATCAAGTTAGAATGTGAGAAAAAAAATTTCAGAATTAACTTGAAATTTTTTTAAGGATGATTGGACAATATCAATGCTCAAAAAACTTTGGACAAAACAAAACCATAAAGCTTTTTCATTGGAAGATTACTTGATACAAATCCCAATCCTTATGCTTTCTACCACCAGTGATTTTTTATTTTAACTACTAGAGTGAAAGAAAAACATAACAAAAATTTGTATTAATGGATGATTTTAACATTTGTATTGGTTGAGAAGTATTCCAACAATCAGATGATGTCAAGTAGATGAAAAGAGCTACCAAAAAACAATTTGGAAGTACAAAAAAATTTCAGGATCTGCCTTTTTAATGGAATTAAAATCAAGGCAAGACATCTCCTAGGAAGTACAAATAGCATAAATGAGAAAACTGGAAAACTTTCATTTCATTCCTCATTCTTAGTGAGGAAAGTAGATGATACTTACATATATGCCTTATACCTAGAGATTTGAGAAAATCTCACAAAAACTCCTCAAGAATGGGTAGATATGTGCTCCAAGCTTTGCTTCAACAATCTCCTTGCTCCAAACCTTTTTTAATGGACAAGCTACGTTGGTGGGACAAAGAGGTGAACAAATGAGCATTGGTAGAGGAGATAGATACACAGTGGTGTATGCATATATTAGGTAAAAACCTCTTAAAGATTACTTGGTATGTATTGAGGTATGAAATGATAAAATTGAGATCTTTGTATGTAATGAAATTGATAGAATTGAGATCTTTGTATGTATTTGAGATCTAAAAGTTTTGAACATTTTTTTAACCTCTTATCTTACTGCAAGATGAGAAATAATGGAGGAAATTTGGACCTCCGCAAAACTTTCAATCACATATCATTGAAAATAATAATAATAATAATAATAATAATAATAATAATAAAAAATAATAATGATAAAAAAATGCTATGTAATGGAGTGCAACCCCAAATTGGGCACAATAATAAGATGGGATAATCAAGCAATTCAGCTACAGCAATACATCTTCTTAGCCTAGTTTTTCCCATGGACATCCAAGCACTACTGCAATACATCTTAAAATATTCAATGAGTTATTTAAGTATCACAAACTTTGAGCAACAATTCCTTTGTACATAGCCCAAGTTATCTATTATTAATTTAACTATTATAGGAAAATTGTTCCCAAATTGACCCCCAATCCTGTTGTTCTTGGTCTAACTTTTCTGATGGACTTCCAAGCACTTACAGAATAACTTTAAAACATAGCCAAGGCAAGCACCATTCCTTCCACAGAGCCCAACAAATGCTTTTCTTTTCCAGACATAAACCCCAATTAGATTTCCCAACCCCAAACCTCCTCCCTCCCTCTAATTGATCATTGGCTAACTTATTCTCTACCTTCATTCTTAGCCTGTATCAAACAATCAATTCACTCAATACCTATCTTCTATACAGTGTCAACTTCTGTACTGGAGTTGTTAGGCGCTGAATGTTATACATTTTAACCCTTTTATTCATATGTTTTATTCTCTTAATAATAGTTTATTTGTGATTTTATATTGTTTTATTGTTTTTATTTATTTCAGGGCTTTAATTGTAAAATCAGTTAACACCAGTAATTCTGAGCTTTACAAGATGACTTTTCGTGGGACCGAGCAATGTTGAAGATCCAAGTTTATTTATACTTAGAAAATAGTCCAAAAGAAGTTACAAGTTGATGAGAATGGAAAGAAGAAGAAAAGGAAAAATCCTTCTCCAAAAAGGATTTGTCACCAAAGTTGGTAACTTAAACTCGTTTTGGTAATCTCGTTGTATCTCTCTCCTCAAGCTTCAAAACAGCTAAATTCCAAAATTGGTTGATAGGAAATTCGAAGAGCTACAATTTTGTGTTTCACAAGCTTTTCCTAAAACAGCTATTTACCTTGTCAAAATTGGCCTAGAAGTCTGCACGAATTTTGGGAGTCCTTACTATGTATGTCTCCTATATGAAAAAGGGAACTTTAGGGCTAATCTTTTATTATTTAAATGGGGTCCTCTACAACATTGAGGGATGATACAGAGGAACTTGAGGCTGAGATCAGAGAGGAGTAGTCAGAAGAAGGAAGAGATCGATTCATGGCGGTAAAGATGTCTTCCTCAACCATGAAGAATTCCACCCCAGTCATGCTTAGCTAAACGCTTTGCTAGGGTTGTGATGTAGCCCTAGCTTAGCACCCTGATCATGAAACAGAAGGGACTAGGACTCAAGAGGATGAGGTAGGGCGGGCAGGTCTGGTTCCACGAATGTCTCGGGATAGATCTCTGAACATAGCTGTGACATCCGTGCGGAAGGTAGCGAACTCTGCTCTGTGGGCCGTGAGGTCAGCTCTGATGGTAATAACAGCGTCCTCGAGCGTCTGCAGATGCACTCCGAAGCCGGGGGTCAAGTCTGGTATGGATAAGTCAGAAGACAACTCCTGGATCTGCTCCTGCTCATGGATAGGTGACCCGGCTGGAGAATGCTGAGCTGCGTCATCCGTTGAGTGCTCAAAGTCAATGTTTATATCAATGTCATCATGCTCGGCAGTTGGATCGACTGGTGCATCGTCCACTGCGGGAGCTGCTGCTGCTGCTGCTGGCTCTGCTGGTGCCGGGGCTGCCTATGCTGCCGCCTCCTCCTCTAACTCCAGCTCTGCAGCTGCCAGTACGGCATGGACCTGCATGCGAGTGATAATAGCTCTGTAGCTCTTGTCCCAGTCCTTCTTGCGGAAGTGACAGGAACCTCTCTCGGGGTCCTCTTGCGGGTGGATGGGATAGCGCTGGTCAATGAGAATCTGGGTGATGAGGTGGCTGAATGGAAGAGACTTGGCCCTTCCGGGCACCTCCTTGCTGACGTACTCATCGTAGAGCTTCCTCATCACGCTCCAGATAAGCGCAGGAATAGATACCCAGTGGCCGGTATAGAAGGCTTACAGGGTTGCTAAATAGTCGCCCCGCCTCTGAATTTTATGTCCCGCCATATATATGTTTCGGTAGAGCACCGAATTTGTAAACCACAGGTCATCCGGCAAGAATGTCCGGGTGGCGAAGGTCTCGCCACCGGCATGGTGACCTGTGAGAAAAATCGCCATATCGGCGTAAGAAGGCCTGTGAAGCCTGGGATATGTCTCCTGTAGCTCGGGCGAGCACCGATGTGGACAGTAAGTTGAACGGGCTAGAGTATCCACTGTAATGGTGATCTTATGGCCATCGATAGAGGTGATGAGCTCGGTTGTAGTGCGCGGCGACAATCGGAGGTTCTGGTAGAACAATCGTACCAGTCGCGGGTAGATCGGCTCTGTGACTGGGACAAGAATAGCTGAGAGGCCCCGCTGAATGATGTCCTGATAGGCAGATCAAGTCAGCACCGATCTGGAGAAGAATGCGGTGTCGAATGCTGACTCATGCTCGATAGTCATGTGTGCATATCGAGACGTGAGTCTGTCAAGCTGTAGATGAGCTGGCTGAACAGGTGGAGCCGGCTGAGCTGGCTGCTCAGCGCCTCTATGCGGTGGAGATGGTGATGAAGTGAATGCTGGATGAGCCGGCGACTAAGGTGGAATAGGGTGTAATGGCTCCTCTGTATGAGAAGGCTGCGCAGTCTCCCCAGTCCACTGTCGGACTCTCCTCTGTGTGTGCTCGGGACTAGGATCCCGGACATGAGATGGACCGGCCCCATTGTCAAGTCTGCGGCTGGAGCCGTGATGATGTCTACGTGTTACTGTCTTGACGCGAGCCATAGTCTGCAAATAGAAATTCAAGAGTTAATGCCAGCATATATAGAATATAAAGCACAATATAGAAACATGTATGTCAAATAAGATAGACAAAACAAAATATCGCATGATTCTATGCAAGTGGTAGAATATGAAACATGCTAAACAATGTAAGTATGAAATGCATCAAATGTGGAATATCACAGGCATTGGGCATATATAAGGTAGCATGAACATAAGATGAATGAAGTGTGTATATGAGATCTGTTAAATTTAATTGATCAGAAAAAAAATGAGATCGATCACAAAAGTTGGATCGATCGAAGATTGAGTTGGATCAATCACAAAATTTGGATCGATCGAAAATTAGTTGGATCGATCGCAAATCTTCGATCGATCATAAATTTATTCGATCGATCGAACAGTGTGACGATGAAACCTAACAG